TGTTTTCCTTTTTAGATTTCGGAGTAAATCACGATCGCGATTTCAGATTTGGTCAATTTCCCTTGAAGCAACAACAAAAACAAGCATCTAGATTTCAATCTTGTGTTTTTTTTCAGGTGGATTTTGATTATTCTATTTGTCGTTTTCCTGGAAAGCTTGCGGGTATTGGAGAGAAATCGCCGAATTAGATTTTTTTGTGGGTTAGAAAATTCTGTATTTTTTTTGTTCTGATTTGGAGCAATGCAAAGGATCGTAGACAACGCTCTCGCTGTCACCAAAGAGTGAGTCTTTTTCTCTGTTCGATGACTGCAATTCATCTGTGTATGCAATTATAGATTTTTTAGTGATTTGGCTAAGTTTTTCTTTTGAGAAGCTCTCTATTGATTATAGACTTATAGTGAATGTGAATCTCTTTGTACAGGTTGATTGTGTTTTACGGTTTTGTTAGACTGTTTTATTATTGTAGTGTTTCTTCATTCAAAGTTTGTCCTTTAATTGTTGGTGTTTATTGTGAACTTTGATTCGGTGACAAGTGACTTTTTTTTGTTTGGTTTGTCTTCTTGTTACATGTTCGTATTTTCCCTTCTTATTGATTAAAATGGCTAAACTAACTAAGCTTTTGTTTATGTTTTGGCTTTTAGTGCAGATCAGTGAAAACTATTACATATGAGTCTTTGAACAACATTGCAAGATGCATTAATGGAGTATCAGCTCTTCTGTTGACTGTTCTTCCTGGGAAGGCTAATATTCTTGAAGGTCTCCATGGCTGGGAACTCAGGCCAACGTTCCGTGGACCGCGTTTACCACGGTGGATGCATAAGTAAATCTTTTGAATCCTGTGATGCTTCTTCTGCTGCTTAGTTAAAAAACCTTAGTTATAGCAATATGCTAATTTTACTCGGTTTCAATTCGATGGCAGTGGTGTCTCTTCTTTCAATGAGGTCATTCATGAGCTTTCTGTGGATTCTGATACTTCAAGCTTGGAATATTCTTCTGAAGAAGATAGTGATGGTGCGCTTCCTGCATCACCGTCATCTCATAGCTCGCGCTTCTCTTGGGCCAGCGCTTCTGCGAATCCTGAAAGCCACTGGACAGAGTGGATTACATTCATTCTTTGGTGGTTAATATTTCCTTTACGGATCTTGCTATGGGTACCACAATTTTTTATGCGTTTATTCTTTAAACGAAGTTCAAGAATCCCTATGAGCCCAAGAAGGACATCTAGACCTCGTATTAGCAAGACTAACTCAAGCAAAGACCATGATGTTCCCAACCGAGCTACTGATAGAAGACGCGGAGTCATTGAGGTTTGCGGATGCACTAACTGCTGTTTTTTTGTGTGTTTTTAACCTTTTCACACATTCTTCCTACTTAATGTGCGTTACTTTGCAGGATCTTCATCTGGCTATCGAGATCTGCATAGAAGCAATATTTGATTTTTTTCACAAGGCTACACATCTTCTTCTTTCTCCATCAGAAGCTTTTGCAATAATGTTATCATGGTTCTCTTCTCCCAGTCACAACCCTAAAGAAAACCAAGATCACGTTTCAGATGATGAAACTGTGCAGACTGCCACTTTAGGAGATACTGATCCATCTCTTAAAGAAAGGCCTACACGCTTATACAACTCTATGAACACAGATACTCGAACGTGTCAAGATGTCATAACAGAGCTGGGGTAGGGACAGCTTAGATATCTTGTGCTTTTTTTTTTTGTTTCCCCTATTCTCTTTCTCAAGTATTTGGTATTTACTTAAATTTTATCTCCTAATTTTAATAGGTATCCTTACGAAGCTATTCGTGTTGTTACATCTGATGGATATGTTCTTCTCTTGGAAAGGATTCCAAGGTATAACTTTCTTGTGATATATTATGCTCACTTGTGCATCCTTTCCATTTCCTGTTTTGTTGTCTCTTCCTTAAATATGTGATCTCTGATTGCGTTTCTTGTGTTTGCAGACGTGATGCAAGGAAAGCTGTTTATCTGCAGCATGGGATTTTGGATTCTTCAATGGGGTGAGTTTAATGGTCATATTTCTAGATGAATTTTGAAAGTTGCGAACTTCTTAAGCTGAAAGGTTGAGGAAGTATTGTTTTCTGTTTCCACGTAACATTAAATTCCACATGATTAATTTACCTTTTTCTTTTCTGTGCGTTCTTCTTCAGATGGGTATCTAATGGGATTGTTGGATCTCCGGCTTTTGCTGCGTATGACCAAGGTTCAAGCTTGACTCTTTCATTCTACAATCTTGTATTAATTCACATACCAACTGCTGGGATTCTTACACTTTTCCTGCACAGGCTATGATGTTTTCTTGGGGAACTTCCGGGGTTTAGTCTCGAGAGATCATGTGAACAAGAACATACCCTCGAAAGAGTGAGCTCCTGATTTCAAGTCCACTTCATATTTTGTCTACTTGCTCTGGCTGGTTTCCTTATGATAGTGGAGACTGGAGAAAAAGCTATTTTCATTGAGATATATGCTTGCAAGTTAGTGTTAACTGGTGTTGATCATAATGCAGGTATTGGCGATACTCCATTAATGAGCACGGTACTGAGGATATCCCAGCGATGATAGAAAAAATCCATGAGATCAAAACTTCAGAATTGAAGCTCTGCCAGCCTAATATCGATGAGGAAGTCAATCAGGAGGAGCCTTATAAGCTCTGTGCCGTCTGTCATAGTCTAGGTGGTGCTGCAATTCTGATGTACGTCATCACTCGCAAAATCAAGGAAAAGCCACACCGACTCTCCCGACTGATCCTACTTTCACCCGCTGGATTTCATGAGGACTCCAACTTAGGTTTCACATTGGTTGAGTACATATTCCTTTTTGTGAGTCCGGTATTGGTTCACATTGTGCCTGCCTTCTACATACCGACAAGATTCTTCAGGATGCTTCTGAACAAGTTAGCCCGTGACTTTCACAATTATCCTGCTCTTGGTGGACTGGTCCAAACTCTAATGAGTTACGTAGTTGGTGGAGACAGCTCGAATTGGGTTGGAGTCTTGGGGTTGCCTCACTACAACATGAACGATATGCCAGCTGTCTCCTTCCGTGTTGCGCAACATCTTGCTCAGATCAAACACACCGGTAAATTCAGGATGTATGATTATGGCAGCAGATCAGCTAACATGGAGATTTATGGCTCTCCTGAACCTCTTGATCTTGGGGAGTCTTACAAGTTCATTGATGTGCCTGTGGATTTAGTAGCAGGAAGGAAAGACAAGGTGATTCGGCCTTCCATGGTGAGGAAACACTACAATGTGATGAAAGATGCCGAGGTTGATGTGTCATTTAATGAGTTTGAGTATGCTCACCTTGATTTCACATTCTCTCACCGGGAAGAGCTTTTGAGGTTTGTGATGTCACGGCTTCTGCATGTGGAACCGACACCAGTTCAACAGAGGCAGAGCAGTCAGAAAGGTATGAAGTTGAAGAAAAAGAAAAAGGAAGTATAGTAGTGCAAGTAGCTAAAACCAAACCATGGTCATTGCCTCGGTAGAGTTTGGTGTCTTTGTATCTTGATGTTGTGTGTGTGAGCTTCATGTGTGTTTTATGTTGATCTCCTGTGGATTGACTATAATAGTGTACATATAATGTAAAGTTTGATCTCTTGATGCAATGATCTTGTTTGTTGTGAGAGATGCTTTTTTCTCAGCAACAATATGATAGTATATAATAATGTTTGTACCTGTTTATATTCTCCATGACAGTTATATGATGTGATGAAGCATAATTGATGCAATGAAGAGACCAATCAGTCGCTGTTACATTGACAGATTCAAGTACCTGTAATTTGGGTGGATATGAGGTATTTGGCTTCTTTAAATAATCTGGTCTGTTTCTCAGCAATCACATAAGAAAGGGAGAGACTTTCGAATTGTTAGGGACACTTGATTGGGCCACAACACATTTCATTCAATTGTCGTGATATAATCCGTAGTTACATGTTTGCGGATCAAAGAACGATCATATCATCTAAATAAAGAGAGAAAAAAGAGCAGTGATCGGTGAATCTGGTGTTGCCTGATCTTCATGTTTCATGAGACATGTATAGAGAGAAAAAAAACTAGGGAAGATGAAGAATCTTTTTTTCCTGGCATAGTTAAAAGAATGAAACAGAAGGGAAGAGAAATATATCAGAATCCACATGAAAGACCTAGTGAATTAGAGGAGGATTTCATTGGAGCTCTGATGGTCTTGAAGAAGTAAAGCTCTTTGCGGATTTGAAAGCAGAAGTTCCTGCATGTCCCTTGGAAGTACACTGAACACAGCTTGCAAATCAATCTTCAGTTTCTGAAACGTTGCTTCTGAACCAGCACCCCCTTTCCCTGATTCTCGTGACTGCAAGAAGATTGTTTTCGATATGTCACCAGAGCTGGTTAATGTCTATCATCACAGGATTCTCAACGAGAGTTCTACCTATAATATGCAGAGGGATAATATGTATAGCTAACTAAGTAGAATCTATCTTTACATCTCTTTGGCATGGAAGTACAAAACAGGAATATTTTATTTACATGGGAGTTTTCGTATTAGATGAAGCATTCAGACCTAAATAAGAAACTCTAGCACAGAAGAAAGATGACCATACATTACAAGTAAGAGTCAAAGGGAAGATAAACTTACCATGACTTCTTCATTAATGTGTTTCTCAATGGCATTGAAGGAATCCACAGCTTCCAATTCATTCATCTGAGATGTGATCTGTCGCATATTAGTCTTCATTCTTGCTAGCCTCCATAATCTACGCTGCTCTTGCTCGGCAACAGCACGCCGTCTTTGGAACCAGGGCATAAAGTTGGGTCCTTGTAGAAACCGCCTGAAAATGTATGAACAGTTTAGGAACCAAATATTGGTGGAGCAGAATGAAGACAATGAATCCAAAGACTCTGAAACTCAAATGATGTTGGTAATATGGAAACGACTCTATATACCTGTACAAATCTGGCCAGTTGGATTTCATGCGTTTAGACAAAAACTTCCCTACACCTCTCGCAGATAAATTTGAAAGGAATTCATCAGCACCGAATGATGGGAGCGAAGGAGGGGTAACATATGGGGAAGAACCATCAGAAGGGGCATTAACCTGAAAATATGGACCAAATGGGGCCAAGAAATTCGTAGTTAATTCCAAGAAATGCCGTCGCAGAATCTCGTTATTCACAACTGACATTGATTCCTCAACCCTTGGTGACATCCCAGCATCAATAAGTCTATTCAAAATAGAAGTGTCTGGCTTTGTTATTGCAGAGTAGGTGGTCCAGACAGCTTCCTTGTGCTCTGTCATGAGACACAGAGGTCCATCTCGCCTGAGTTTTACCGCATTTAGCAAATTTGTAGGAGAGAACGTTCTTAACGAAAGCTGTTTAACGCCTAATCCTTCAGCTTTACCGGGTATTCTACCAGCCGACCTACTTGTAAAGGCTACACGGTTTGAGTTTGGAGCAGGGGTTCCAACTGAGACAACATGAGGCATATTGCGAAGAGCTTTAAGGAAAAAGAGGTTTGTGACACCCAAAACCATTGGTGGGAAAGTGTCTCCTTCTCGGAGTGAGTTTAGTCGAGCAAATCCTGGATCATGTATAGTGAAATATGGTCTAAAGTCGACGCTACAGAATAGTGGCGCAACCAAACTCACAAGACAAGCAACTGCCTCAGAGCATTGTGGAGGTGTTGGCGCAATGATAAGGATAGGCTCGCCTATAAGTAACAATTCCCATAGTGTCCATAGCTGCAACAATAATCCCCGGTAAATGCCAAAAAGATCCGCATCATGGAAAAGACCTTGAGGAACAGACTGATTTGTAGGGAGTAAAGGAGCCATAGAAGAAGCAGATTCCTCGTATAAAATCCCATTTTCCAATGGAAGGCTATGGGCAGGCGGCAAGTTCACCTTAAGCATTGCATTACCAATGGGCAACTCCATCAGCTTACCGGGAACAGGAGCAGGCCACATAGAGACATAACCAGCAATATGTTCAATCGCCTTATTTCCAACATCGAAATACAACGGACCAATGATTTGCAGCAACGGTCTAAACACACTCGAGTAAGGCGTATGCGATAAAATCACCACAGACTTCTGTTCACCTCCCCTTTTCAATCTTTCATCATGCCTCTGCCTATTAAATACATAACCATACAAGTACCTATCACCATCTCTCTCCTCCTCATTGTTCTTCTTTGGTCTACGAAACCGGAAAAAGAAAATGCAGTCATGTATGCTTGAACGGTTATGATGCTGTGAGACAGAATCAGGAAAGGAATTGAACGAAACCTCGATTTCCTCTTCTTGTGAGAGATAACCTGGTGGATAACACTCTTCTAAGATCTGCCCTTGCTCAAGATCAAACCTCATAATGCAAAATGCATGAATCCATCGTTTTAAAGACTCAGGATCAGGCTTTATACTAAGCTCAGGCTTCACAGAAAAAGATGGAGACCGACTCATTTCAAAGATAACCAAGAAATTCACCAACCCATCAAAAAAATTCTCCAGTTACGTGATCTTCATCATCACTTATACTTCCCCCAATAGAGAAGATCCATCAAAAGCTTGAATCTTTAAGCTTAATTATACTGACTG